TGAGAAGAGTCATTTCTGAACCCAGTAGACTGCAAGGGTTTTCAAAACATTCATATTTCAGTCTGAAGCTCCAAAACTTTAAAATTATTGCAACCTTCAGCAACTAACGGACGTTGTGTGTGCAATAAAAATGTCCTGTCACTTCCAGTCTAGAATCGCAGTTACTGAACCAACACAGCGAGCACATGAACAACTTCATCTTTATAGCAAAAATTCATATATATTCTATGCAAACATGGAAGTTTAGAGTGGTACATGAAGGTTGGTGTGTCACTCTTGATCATTTTGACTGCGATCCAGTAACATACTTCAGTATATATCTAACTTGAAACAGTTGTAGTCCCGGTGTTGTCAACAAGGTTCCCAATTAACTTTCATTCAGGCATGTACTTAAAGATCTTCCTAAACTCTGGTCTCAGTCAAGGATTGCACAGGTAAAATCCTGCTCGCCACTTCCATTTTACTACTTCTGCATGTAGCTGTGCACAAAATAATTTTATTATTAGGAGGCTTAGGTCACGCTCTGCTGCACCATCGTGAAATCTATATTCAATTTTATAAATATGAACCACTGAGAAATGCCACAAATTTAGCTAGTCTGAAGATCTACAAGAGATTTTTCATTTTAAGTGTGGAAAGATTTCCATACTTAAAAGGCGTGAAATTCCCCTTTCTTCTAATGATGAGAAATGCCCCCTGATGCCCCATCTCCTCCAGGACATGGCCACAGTAGAAAATAATTTTCACAACTAATATGTATACAGAAGAAAATGGCTAATATCATCCAATGAATTTCGATCCACCTACGTGGTATAAACATATCTAGATAAACTGTCACCTTCAGCAGAATTCATTAAAATAATGTTGCATCTTCCTTGTTAAATGTAATTTTTTTAATTGAAATTTAATCTTACTATATTATTTGGTAGATTTTTAATTGACATTTGTAGTAATTAATTGGTAAGCATTACAGCTTTGTCTGAAGAATTTAAAACTAAATTTGACATAGAGATTGGCCAGCCACTGCTGTGAGCTGCCTGCTGGGAGCATTTCATCATCCTCCCAGCCCCTCCTGCTGATCATAGGTGGGAGATGATGGTCTCTTTCTTACAGTCATGAATTACATTACTAATGTATTCCATTACCACCACGCAAATGTCATGTTAATTTCTGATCATCATCAAGTCAGACAATGGTTTCCACACTGGCAACTAGCCAATTAGCTATGTGGAAAAATAGTCAGCCAATTATATAACTTGAATTAGGTTAAGGACTCAAGAGAAAGCAAAATAAATGCTTTGAAAATACTTCTGAGATAAAATATAAGTTGACACTGTCTTCATGTGCTATACCCAATGTTATACAATCTGATAGGCAGCTGCCAACACTCATAACTGTTTATTAAATCTAGCCTCTCTTTATGGTGGCAGCTAAGATCTGTATTTTTACCAATATTAGGTTCATTGTGTTATGAAAAAAGACCAAAATACTTAGGATCATTCACACCAGCTTATAAAACATATTATGTAGTATATTAAATTGTTAAAATTACTTTTCCCCCAAGTAGAAAGTTTCATGGGTAGAAAGTTTGAGCAAAACAAAGTCTGTCTTGAGCCACTGATGTTCTATAACAGGGAGGGAGACAGAAAGCACTTTTGTCCTCAAAATGCACGCTGTTAAGATGCAGCCCACCAGCCAAATGGGCATCCCTCATTCTTCATGGGAAGGAATCGGGTTCAATTTCTGCCTTAGCAGCTCACACCCAAACTCACTTATGGGATTTTATGCTAACACAACTCTGCTGAAGTCAGTGGATTTACAACTGATAGACACTTGTGTGAAGACTAGCATCAGGCCTACAGCTATTTTTTCCCAACCATAAAAGCCATGCTGTTGCCGACAGCCCTCCAGAGAACTACGAATTAGTTTAGCTAGGCCCAAATGACGTTTCATCTATTTTTTTTTATTTATTTTAGAATAACTGTAGCAACCACATAGTGTATTTTATAAGAGAACGGAGGACCCAGCCTAACCCCAAGGATGCTAAACAGATGAGCAGATTAACAGCAGGTTCATAACTATTATATCAGCCCAAGATACATAGCACTGAACTGTACTGGCAAAGCTGGGTGCTGAATCCCAGTTTGAAGCCCTGTATCATTACTGTGATTTCTTTTGTTCTTAAATCAATTTATTGTGCAAGCCTGCTTTTCTCCAGTTCAGGAAAGCAGACGGCACCAATTCCTTGATTCTAAAAGTCTGTAACACTGAGCAATTTGTGAGAACCTTTTACCAATCTTTCATCTCATTTTCTAACATGTTGCAATGAGGCAATTCACTGTTCTGGCCGCTTGCCCTAAATGACCTTTGCCTGCCATAAAAAAGGTTCACAGGTCGACTCCACGCTTTAAAATAACACTCTCTTCTCTTTTACAGGCCGTAAGTATTCAGTCAACACAATTAGCGGGAACCACATTTGGTTACTCAATCAGCTGGAAAGTTTTAAAACCTATATGGCTGTGAACAAATCATTGACATCATCATGAAGATTCAACTAGGGAAAACAGCGATGAAGGTGGACCTCACTCCAACAAAAAAAGGTCACTTTTCCATGCAGTCCTCAAGTGGGAGAGGAGCAGGGTAGCCAGAAAGCAAATCAAGCCTCACTAGAATAAATTGCTGGGCAACTTATCAACTGCTAAAAGAGTTATGGTGGAGAAGAGTTAGAGATCTATGCCAGAAGAAAAGCGGCTGGATAAAGATACGAGTTAAAATGTAGATACATCTACCAGTGCCACTGGGGCTAAATGTTCCTTTCCAACAGATTTTTTAAAGCATTTAGAGAACCGAATACATTTGAGAGACTTAAAAATGACTACATAAACCATCATTTTAATCGATGAATAAAAGCAACCGGGCTGACGAGCAAAACAAGCTCATCTTCTTGTTCAGCCGGATGCTCGCAGAAATTTGGTCAGCCTGAAATGCTTAACCGTGAAGCTACTGATGGGACAGGCCACTAGCACACTTGATCCGTACTCAGGGGTCCAGTCACCCATAGATCTGTGCCTTCATAATTCAACCTCTTTGGTGAAGGGGACATTTTAAAGTGCCCTGTTCTTCTGTGTGTTTTCTGCTCTTAAGCAATATCAAGCCCCATTATTAGTAGCGCCACTGGGTTATCATAGTACCATATGCCAAGTCTGTGCCATGCTCGGCGAGGCCTCAGTTTTCAATAAGGCTTGTTCAGTGGGACTCTACAACTCCACACATTCTTCACTTGGGGTTATTTTAGGAATTTTAAGTAAAAAATCTCAAGCTGAGGGGTAGGGCATATTCCATATAGCTATAAAAGGTGGGTTTTTTCCCCTACCTTAACTGGGAACAAGTCATTATAAATAGTCAGCACCATCGCTAAAGCCGACTGATCAGTCCATGGTGGAGCACCATGAATCTGTCTTGCTCTGTATGCATCATGAAGGAAGGACTGGAAATCACCCCCCACGTCTGGATCCCAGTCCCGTTAGCAGGTTGATCATTCTGATATAAAGGAATTGGTAGGAATCACTCCCCCCCTCTTTTCTCTCTGTCTCACACGCGCACACACGCACTTTGAGCTGCCATATGGGTTTATTCAACTGTTTACTACACCAGTCAGTAAAAATTGAGTAGTTATTATAATCTTTGCTAAATGACATGGTAATTAGGCTACCTCTGGAAAAAGAGAAAAAAAAAAAAAAAGTATGGAACCTTTTAGAAAAAAAAAAAAAAAAAATCACAATTCACTGATGTGTGAATTTCTGTGTTTTTATAATCTTTGAATGGAAATAGGTTTCCTAATACACAGAGGGATATTATTAAACGTGTGCCAGAAACCCAAATTTATTTTCGAAAAACATTTTATGCTCCCCCATCACCTATGCGGTTTAATTACTTGCATTTCCTAGTTTTAAAGCTTTCTTATTCATCTCTCGTCATTTCCCTGTAAATAAAAGGAATCCTTTTGTTGTAGCCTTTTAGTATTTTAATGAATGAATAAACATTTTTCCAACCCCAGTTAACGGATTAGAAACCGGAGGTAGGACAGGGCATGGGAGTTAGTGATACATGCTTGTGATCCTGGTTACTCAAGGGGTGCTGGAGCCCTCCCCCTTGGCCAGTGGGATTCACAGGCATCGAACAGGGGGAGGAATTCAGCCTCCTGGTTACTGCCCCAACTGCTAGCCATTGCACAGAGTTAGTCCCAAATCGGGGAACAGATTTGCTCACTGATTATAGCTAAGAGGTCACACTGGTGACCACCTATGAACAGCAACAGGGGCAAATAGCAACGCTATATTCATAGGAGGACAGCAACTGCTTCTTCTCAGCCTCTGCCTAGGATGGACCAAGCCCATCAACCCAGTAGCCAGGCTTGGAGGTGACGGGCTTGCACCCTTTACAGAAGAGAATGCAAGATTTCATGAGGTGGGATGGAAGGGAGCAGGAGCATGCAGTGGAGACAGCTCTCCTGCGAACCAGTGGCACCAGTTTATTACTGGGATATAGGCAGAGCCACATGATGATAATGGCTTATTTTCTGGAGACAGCTTCTTTGAAAGCAAAGCAGTAAGCATGTGATGGAAGAGTGGCCTTTGCATACTCACAATTACTTATTCCATGCGGTGCATTTAGCCATCCTGAAGCCCCACCTATATGGAAAGGCTTCAGCGCTTGGCTTTACCTGCACAGATCACTAAATTCAAACTCCACCCTCAAAAATCTGCAACGGGATCTTGCATTTGCAAGATCTGCGTGGGAGGGCATATTATATTAATAAAACAGATGCTATAGCTGTCCAGTAACAATGATCAACATTTATGGATGCAGAATACTAGCAACATAGTTGTAAGCACAGACAATTAAAAAAAATGCATATTAAGTACCAGAGGAAAGAACGAAGGGGAAAATAGAGGCAAGAGAAAGAGTGAATTACTATAGACATGGATTTGTTGACTCACCAGTTTTACTTGTGGGCATTACACATATCCACTCATGGCTCAGGGCAAATTCGGCAAGGGATCAAAACCCTTATCATGGCAAATATGTTCAGAAGCTGGAATCACTCGGAAAAAAGTTCTCAGGAGACTGAAAGACAAAAACAGGTTTTAAAGCTTCACTTAGCCAGAACTATGCTCAAACCCACCATTTCCATGAACTTGAAAAGAAAAGGCGATTATAAATTCTGTAGGTGGGGAAAGCACCTTATTGTAAGTAGGCTTTAACATATTAAAAGTTTCTGTGTCATAGAGAAGATTTTTTTTTCTTTTTGCTATAAATAAAACTGAAACTTAAGCCAGGAAGACAGTTTTTAAAAGGTGCTGTTATTTCAAATATGTAATCTGCTGTGCTGATTTATAAATTTATATGCGATACCAAAATTAGTTGACATCCAAACTTATACTCTGCTGGGAAACAGTATTGTTTCAGGACATTCAGATACTTTAACCTACTTTGCATGATCAAAATCTACCAGGGTCTTTGAGCTTGTCAGATATTTATTCTCTGCCTTCACTCATTTCATCCTGATAAATCCTTAACAAAATGTACAATCTCTCTTTAGCAATAATCTTTCCTCCAAGATAAGGGAAAACACATATATAAAAACTATTTGATGTTTGGGGCAAAAAGGCAAAATTTGCAAACATCAGTTAAGAAAATATAAATTAGCTTTCCTTGCCTCAGTGCTTGATAAAAGAGCAGAGTTTAAGCCAAGCTCTGAGAGTGCTGTTTACGCCACATACTAATTAGCAAGTTCACTAAGTTAGGTATTTTAAAACAAATTATATTTTCTTCCTTGACAAAGTGTCTTATATCCAGGCTGGATAAAATCCTATGGGCTAGTAGACTCTGGTGCCAGTGGACATATTAGCTGCAGCCTTTTTTTTCGGACAGCACTTAAGCATACACTTAAATCCCACTTAATCAGAGAAGCACTTAAGCACCTGCTCTGCACATGAGTCACCCAAAAGGGGCAAAGCAGACAGCTGAAAGGGGTGGTTAGCACATTTCCCAGAGCCACTCTCGAGCTCTGAGCACTTCACAAAGGAAATGCTATTACCCCCATTAGAAAGAGGAACTGAAGAACATAAATACCAAGCGACTTGCCCAAGTTCACAGAGGAAGTCCTAATTATTTTCATTTAAGGATTCTGGCTGAAAGTCATGTTCCCGAAAACCACATAACAGACATAGAGCCATAATAGAAATTTAAGCAAAAATAACAAAAATACAAGCATAACAATAAAAGAGGGCCAACCATTATAAAAGCATTGTTCCTGCTCCCAGAATTAACATACTCAAATACAAATATGGTGATAAATCAAATCATAAACCTATAAACTGCTGCGTACAGGTCCACAATTGACACAGTAAAAAACAAATATAGCAATAAAATGTAATCGGTCATATCAACAGTAAAGGATGTTTAGCTCTGATTGCTTCAGCCTTACATAGCAAAAGTTGCAAGCGGGTTTACTAAGTATGAATCTGTTTGCTGGAGGAGCCATATTCTCCATTTCTCTCCATTTGAGAAATATGTCACTGTCTGCAAGAACGGTGATGAATGCTTTCTCCTTATGTCATTGTACAAAGGACATTGTAAGACATCATGAATAGTACCTTCCACCCTAGACAGGCTGGGCAACATCTTTTAGCCCTTGGAATGAGAGTCTATGTCCAGCTGAAACAGCTGTGGGCATCTGTTCAGGCCTGAGTCTAGTCCAAGAGAGTACAGAGGAAGCCAGTGGCAGAGCAGGGCTTTGAAACAAATTTCCTGATGTCCTAGCTAGGTGCTCAATCACTTGAGCAACTTTACACTCTCTGTCCCAACGCCAGGGATACGGGAGTACAAGGTACACTTATACAAGGTACGAAGTACATTTGAAATTTGGGAGAGTTGTTGGTTTAAAGCTTCATGAACATAAGAATTGGCATTTACTGGGTCCGACCATAGGTCCATCTTGCCCATCATCCTGTGTCACAAACAGTGGCCGAGAGTGGATGGTGAAAGGAGTGTGAACTGGACACGACCAGGGCTTTTCTCCCCCCCACCCATTCCTCCTGCGCTTGCAGCCTCCACCATTTAAGGTCTAAGAGGTTCTCATTTAGAGGCTGTATCACTAACTCCCGCGCTCAGTAGTTACTGTTGCCCCTGAATTTGTCCAATCCCTTTTTGAATCTGGCTAAACTATCAGCCTCCACAACATCTGGTGGCACGGAGCTCCACACTTCAATGACACGCTGCGTGAAAAACAACTGCATTTTGTTAGTTTTAAACCTACCACCTGCTAGTTTCATATTGGTGACCCCTAGTTCTTGTATTCAGACAGAGTAAATAATAAATCCCTATTTACTTTCTCATCACCACTTAGTATTTTGTAAACCCTGATCATGCCCCCTTTCAAGCATTACTCTTCTAAATTGAATTAGGCCTCGCCTGCTCAACCTCTTCACACCAGCCAAACCAAAGTTTGGAGGATCTACACAGTTGTGCTGTGACTTCTTTCTTTGCCTGGCTTGACTTAGATGAAGCAGCCTGTCAACCGGCCTGAAGGCCAAGTTCAGACCAAGTTCTCGTCTTCCTCCTGTTAGTCACGGCACCGGCATCAGGTGCAATCTAAACCCCATCTTTCTGTTCTCCACAAATATTCAGCTTTTTGAATGCATGTGAAAGACATCTTCAGAACTCTCCTATTTTAAATTATTTCAGGCTCTTGCAGGAACTTTCAGAGCAAATGAGAATCATTTTGTACCATCAGCTGGCATTTGGGCTGAAACATCGGTTATTATACTGTGACATCCCCAGAAGTCTCAGCCACGTTGGGGCCATGCTGTGCTAGACACTGCACGAACACGATCTCCTACTGACTCTGCCCAGAGGATGGGACACGTTGGTGACAAAAACAACTACACAAGCATATGGATGTCTGCAAGGTGAGGAGGTAATGGGACAGAAGAGGATGGAGTCTGATATAACAGTCATCACTGAGGGTGAAATCTTGAGCTCCGTCGAAGCCAGCACGAGTTCTGCCGTTGACTTCCGGTTCCAGATGCCACGCGTGCTGTTTGGGGACCGGACAACTGCGCACATCACTCAGAGGTGCAGAAAACCCCTTGGGAGCAGCAGCCACTGTAAACCACAACCGGCTGAGCTGTTCTCAAAAGTCACTCTTCTGTCAGCATCACGCCATAGGGGAGTTCGAAGGAGAGATGGGGTGGAGGGAAAAGGTGGTCAGTTTATAATTGATAGCAGGGAGTTTTTCCCCTCTGCACACAGAGGAGCCTGGGACAAAGCAGAAAAGGGTAAGTCGGAGAAAGAGACAAACGACCGCTTGCAGCTGATGCCACAGGATGATCAAAAATCACCCTCGTATGCCTGTCGCCTATTTGAAATATGTAGCAAAACCAAACAAGCTCACCTGCCTTTCATTATACTGTACTCAGTGGAAATAATGCTATGACTATCCTGTAATGGGTAAAGGTAACCGTCAGTGGACAAGTTCTCCTATTTCCCACCCCCCTACCCCCAACCAGATTTAAAGTAGTTTTTGCCCTTCTTCCCCCTCCCCCAAAACACTCTGAAACTGTATTTGATGTTAAGTGTCAAAATCCTGGTTAAATGGGGAGGTTTAATCATTTTTATCCTTATTCCTCATTGAACGGTTTATCAGCTATGATGAAATTGTGTTAGATTGCTTTACAAATTATTTATTTTAGCCATACCATGTAAAAAGTGGGGGGGACCTCACTTGCAGATCAATTTATAACATATTCCTCCAAACAAGAACTGTGTATGAATGTGAGCATTTGCTTCTATGTACACACACAATTGCAAAGTGTTTTAAAATGACAATAAATCGACTTTCTAACCATTAAGTTGTAAATACATCAAAATGTTGTTCTTTAGGTTATGCAAGCAGTATAATAAATTAAAACATTAAAATATTTTAGGGAAAATACTGGGAGAGCTGAAACATTAATTGTGCCATATACAATCTGTTTTCACAGGGATTGAAAAAGCATTATTACCACCCTGGGTACCATTGGAAAGAGGATGAAACCATCACCCTTTCCTATTTACATATTAAAATGCACATGTATTCTTGATGGATAACACCCAGCTTGCTAACTTGCAAATCTGCTTAAATCAATGCAGCCTGTCTATAGAGCGCAAGAGTCCGAAACTGGGATCTCTTCCTTATAAAACCAACACATTCAAACAGGTTGGAAGTGGGAATAAAATCGACACTATTTTCTTGTTTATCTTCCCCCTTCAGCAATCCCCAATTTGTGCAAATGTCTACGGGGAAAAGGGATGGAGCAGCTGCAATCTCCCCAAGGCCAATGCCTAACAATCAGGCTGTTTACCAAACACCACCACCCAGCAGCAAAATAAAAAGAGCACTGGAAAAAATACATGTTCGTTTCTCAAAACAGCACATTTGCCATACACAGGTTAATGCTGTGCATAAATTCAAAAGGGGAGGGGAGCGACCACCATTAATTCTGCTTTGGGTCCACGACATTTGACTGCAATGTTTGGGATGTCTGATCAGTCATTAGTTTCCTTAAAGGCAGGAGACATGATCTAAAATAATGCTAACTCGTCCTTTGTTCACAACGTGCAGGCTTCAACCACAATGCTCAAAGTCTCTTTCGTGGGGGGAGAGATTTCAGAGGGAGTTTTAGAGCAACAACGGGAGGCAAAAGTTGCTTCCCCTTTCAGCTGGAAGCCACCTCACCTTTCTGATACTGGCTCAAGGCTGAATTTATACATAGAAGACAATTGTTCCTGGCCACCACCCATCAGAAGCATGCCAGGTGGCCTGCATAGCTATTTCTAGTATTTTTGCATCCCATCAAGCAGCGTGCCTATACTGTGTTCAATTGATCACGCCATGAAATGCACTCCATTCTGTACCATATCCCCAAACAACTGGCTAAGTTACCCAACTTATTTTGCTCTGAGTGATACAAAAAGCACTTTAAAAAAATGGGACAGAGGTAGGACGACAGACTTAGGCTCCCAAGCCCAGAATTTTTGGCACCTGCAAACCTACAGCAGGATACTCCATGACAGGTTAGGTC